AGAAAGAGAACGGAACAATGGGTGGAAAAGACGACTTTATTTAATAAAAACGTCGTTAGAGTGATGATGATGCGAAGTTTCATAAATTCGCAAAATCAAAGTTAATTTCAAGAAGAATTTTAATACAAAATTTCAAAAAAATACAATTAGGAAATGTTTGAATATAAAAAACACAAACAAACAAAATCGTCTTCATTTAATGTAAATTAAGAAAATCAAATTAAATATTGTTCTCTTTCTCCAATTTATAAATAAATACGGAAACATAATTATTATGTACATATATTCTTTCAACATTTGTCTTTCCACAGTTATAACGTTTATATTACTATCACTGTAACAAATAATGTGTGAAAACAACTTTATTTCACGAAAACTTGCTTAAGAAAATGATAACATGATAATGATCATTCATCATAATACTTTTGCAGTATGTTCTGACTTTTAATCATCGATCTAAGTAGTATTTGCGGCTCACTCTTTAAAAAGTATATAAGGTAAATTGACCATACAAATTATTCAAATATTCTAATCAAAATGACTAAGCAATATCCTCCGAACCACGGTGTTCGACAAGACTAAACAAATGCACAAAAAAATACATATAGATATGGTCGATTATACAATACCACCGTATGGTAGTAGATACTAGAGTCACATATTGATGTTCTTTTATTGTCCGGCTTGACAACAAATAGACTTAAGCGTTGAAAACTACTAGATTTAGTAGATAAATTTAAGTAATTATTATTAATGTTCATAATCATAATAATACTAAAGTTTAGTGGTTGCTTTAGGAAATACAAGTCAATAATGTATTTACACCTAGTGCATCAACAATAAACTTATTAATTAAATATTTTTGTAAATAATTTAATTTATAATTTATTGTTCTGTCTTAATTATTAAATAATTAAATTAAACAATTTGTCAATGTATCCATATAAGAATCTAATACAGAGAGAGAGAATAACAAATAAAATTACAATAATTCTGGTTTCAACCAGTTTTCTATTTTTTCTTCTTCTTATATATTATTCCACTTGTTTACTAGTGAATTAACATTATTTAATTAATGCGATCAAACAGTAACATTTATTATAAACTTATAAATTATAAAGAAATCTATTGCTTGACACCATTCCATATATAATATTAAATATAAACTGCAGCATATTAGTCAATCAATTATTTAATCGGAAACACTAAATTAATCTTGTTATTAAAACAAATAATGCAATTCTGTTTGAAATATGCAAATTTTATTATACAGCCATATACGTCGACTCTCGTTTCACTTTTAATTACGTTTCTATTCATTTATACAGTAAACGTGTTTTACTGAATTCATATAATTAATTAATATGCAAATCGCGAAAACCGTTTAATAAAAATGTAAATTGTTTTCAATAAAGTTGCGTAAATTGTTTAATATTTTAATATGGTAAACAATTTTTTCTTATTATATTTTTGTTTAAGCATACAATACATATTATTTATTAAGCAAAAAGACTGCATTTGTATATACGTGTATAATAAATACAGTTTATTATTATTCAATTAATTTTACTTTTGTTATTTACATTTTATTTACTTCAATCTCTTTGCAAATGATTTTTTTTTCAACATAAAATAGTAGATTTATACCATATTAGCAATTCGTAATTTCATCCCAAGCCAATACTATTTAATTGAAAGATAATTATATTTATTTTATTCTTCCTAAAGAAAAAAAGTCAATACCTGCATAGTCCGGACGATAGGTTCCGTCAATATAGAAATTTAAATACCTGTATTTTTATTTGTCTGAATTATAATTTTGTTTATTTAAAATTTTTCAAACCGGACTATAGTGAATCCGGACTAATCAAACCCAGTCTATGCGAGATTTTACTATATATTAATATTCAAAAAACAAATATTTTGAACTTCCTGTCATAACGTTAAATATTGTAATGATATAAATAATAAATTTATTTACCTGAAGACATATTGCGTGATATATGAATTCGATAATTAAATATGTTACGTAATTAATTCACAGCGAGGAAACGTATAACAAATCAGTATGCGTTAGAAACGGTGATCGGTATTATTTATGGCCCATCGACAGCGAAATGAGAAAGAAAAGGCTGAAATCAATTACAATTAATGATCAAAATTGTTTGAAAGAAACGCTCCACATAAATCAGAAGAACGATTTAATAAATCAAGAAACCTGATACACAATCGATTGCTTATCAAGAATCATACCATTTTTTTTATTCGATTGTCCATCTGATCCATGTTTCTATATTTTTTTACCTTGAACGTAATGAAAAAGTGCGAAAGACAACGATCGTTCGAAGTTTAATATTTTTATTAAGTATATTTTATTATTGAATATAATGAATTAAACTATAAAGTATTATATAACATGTAGAATTAGTTGATATTGTCTAAATATTGCGATAAAAAATATAGATTGCAAAATAGCGAAACTTCGTTTTTAATACTAAGGTAATACTAAGACCATAAAATAAAAGTTTTATTAAATATACTGTCTACTTACTTAAGATATGAAAACACATTTAAAAATATGAGTCAAAAGTTTATATCTCTTTTCTATTTCATTTAACAATTACATATACTGAGATATAACATTTAACACTGACATCTTTCCTAAATTAGAATCATTTTCAAAAAAACAAAATGTTTTTAATGTATTTTTTTAATCATTGATTGTTATCATTTTTTCGACAGGAACTTCTTTAATTTCGTTTTCTTTGTGTTTGTAGCTAACGAAATTTTCTTAATTCAAATAAATAAACATTATTATCTGCCTCTAATTGACCAATCTGGATAAATTTATTTCTAATTTCTTCTTTTTGTAGTACTTCTGATATTTTTTAAATTAGTTAGTAGAAAGTAAAATCAATACTTTAGAATTTAAATTTAAATTAAAAAAATTCTTAATAAATAAAATTATATAAAATGTCAATGGAACGAAAACAGTCAGGAATCTCGATGCATTTAAAGAGCAAGCTTTTATTATGTGCGAGTGTAAAAATCGTTTTATTTCCAATAAATGTATATTGCAGTACCGCTTTCAGACTGGTTATAAAACTACTAAGTAAATAATTAAGCAATAAACCAATAAAACACTGTATATATATTACCAACATTAAACTTATTGCGCATTCAAAATCGCTGAAAACTTATAGTTCAGATATTCAATAATTTAGCAAATTTTACATTTACCTCGCGGGTAATTATATAATAATTAACAACTAAATTTCCTTTCTATAAAATAAATTTATTTGTAATCAGACTACATTAATTATAAACTCATTTTTTTTTCAAGTTGATATTTCAGCTAATTAAAACATATTTACAACTTTCTATCGAAATAATTTATACTTAGAACATGATATATATTAGAGACTTACCGAATTTTCTGTATCAAAATTGATAATTAATTAAATCTTACATAATTATCAAATTCAAGAAAACCAAGAACTTATGGGTGATAAGAACGGACCAGCGATAAACTGCACTCTAACATAAAAAAGCACATTCAACTGGTTAATATTTAATTACTGCAGATAAGATAAGAATACTTTGCAATAATTGCTACACGGTTAATAAACCTGAGATTAAAATTAAAAATATTCATGAAAAAATAGTAAGTTTTATCAAATGTTAAAAAAAATAGGTATAGAAATGATAGATTTGACGCGTAACAATTATGGAATATATAATTAAATTAGAAATAGATTTACCCGCATTTGTAAAATATATCTGGCTGTAATGTAAAATGAAAGGACAAAAAAAGGATAACGTTCAAAATATTTATGAGAAAACCAAATCCGATACAAAACAGGTTTTCAAACGAAAAACTTAACTTTCAAGGATGCTAAATATACATTAATATAAAAAAACATATTTTTATATTTTGTATTATTTCTTTGTATTTAAATATACATTTAGATGTGTATATATATTTTTTTTCAGTTTACACATTTTTGTCTTATTAAAATTATATATATAAATGAAGATAAGTATAGTACTACTTACGTGGTCATGTTACTATTTATGTCATAAGACAAATATGTAATCTCTTGATTTAATAAATAAATAAATAATGGACTGTCGCCAAAAACAAGTCACACTTCGTCACGTTTTCTTGAAGAATCTCGATAGGAAAATAAATACACCTTTACCTTTCTTTCTATTTGAATTGAGCCTGAGTCAGTGGAATCCCTTAATCCAACCTCAAAGAAAACATTCCTCCGCTTAAGCAAATCCGTGTTGGACAAGGTTTCACATTATTGTGACTTTTGTTGGAAATCCTTGGGGATAATAAGTTTACTTGTCTGTCGGGAACAATTCAACACAGGCAACAAAAAATAAAATAAAATAGTTTTAAGATTTTTATTCAAAGTTTAAAAATAAGCCTAATACAAGTACGTTTTCTCTTTAATAAGTAAAATAATTTAATGCGCTCCGTAGAGTCGGGTTCACTGTTATTTTTTTTGTAGGGATAATTGAAAAGAAACTAACTGTATAATGTCGTTCGCTTTAAAATCTACACGATTATTTACAAGTTTACAAGTCAATAAATAGCATCTTCTTCTTCTTTTCTTTCGATGGACGTCGCTAGTATTTATATAATATTTACAATACGCTAAACACTAATTAAATTAACGATTAATTATATTACTGTTATTAGTAGTAGATTGGTCAACGGCCGGTGTCTGACAGTTCGCCGTAAATTTTTAATTTACGGAACGCAGAATCCGACCGTGGATCGTAGATCATTAAATTAGCTGATCGATATTTACATATTCAATCGATATGAGAACATTATTGATTAAAATTAATAGTAATTGAATAATAAAAAAATAATAAATAAATTAAATTGGTTTTGTTGCCTAAGTTTGAATATAAATAAGTTTATAAATTAAGTTTCACGTTGCTTTTTTTATATGTACAAATTTGACTCAATTCACTAATTATTAATTAAATCAGTCTTTGTTATTTACACAATGATTATGCTGATAATACTGATCGAGGACAATTGGGAGGAAGGATTTCGATAGTTTTCGAGAAATGGAGCGAAACGTCCGGCGTTCCGATCCCATCGTGGCGTTGCTTAAAATAGAAGTACGACATGATTGTTGATTGTGGTGATCGTTGATTGTGATGTAGTGATTTATAAGCACATGTGGATGGTCTTCTTGGTTCTACATATGTCGCATTTCACTTCGCAGCACCATTGAAAGACGCAGTTGCACCGTTCGACGACAACCACTTCTTGTATACGATAACCTCTTCCGCAGCACATGAGGTCGCAGCCGTCAACGCCGATCGACGTGTCGTTGCATTGTCTGCCGTGCGTACCTTGGATGCCCAATTTGGGATTCCTTTCGCAGAAGCCTGGCGATGGTTCCAAGTAGACTAAATCCTTGGGACTTGGCGGCTTGTGGTCCGGATTGTAGGGTTTCAATTGGAAACCGTACTTGTGTTTGCGCGGTTTGTTCTCGCGCTTTGTGTGGATGCTGTTCGAGGAGATGCTATTGGAGACCTTGTCCTGCTTGGGCCTATTGCTGTGGGCATTGTTACTGTTCCTTGCGTTACCGGTATTGCTGACCATGACGCGGGAGGCGCCATCGAAACGGTCCTTCAGGTTATCACCGATGACTCGGAAGACAGGCAATCGCATCCAGCAAGTCTTGACGGCGCACGACCCAGACATTCCGTGACACTTGCACTCTTGTTTCACTTGAGATTGAACATGCTGCAAACAGAAAGGAAGATCATTAGTAAGTTGTAATTCATAACGATAAAAATGTCGAGTTTCCGCAGTGCGAGCTTAATGAAGTGATTTTAATGCGGCGAAGGAGAGAGAAAAAACCTTTCTAATAAGTAACTTTTCTGGTGTGAGAAAAAGGCTTTGATTTATGCAGAAAAGGCGATCATTAATACCGGGTGGTCGGTTCCAGTTTTATTAAAATGCATATTAACTTGTTAAGCCCGCCCATATTTAATGAAATGACATTCGCCCGGAGGCCGCGCGCGAGGAGCCCAAGAAGAGATCGAGGTTGGAAAGGCTCGAAAGGTAGGTAGGTAGATAGGTAGGTAGGCTGAATCTGTCTCTTTCTCTCTCTCTTTGAGATGAGATGAGATGCGGAGAAGTAGATTGGAGCGAGCGAGAGGAGATGTGTTTATATGGTAACACTTTATTAAGTCCTGGGTTCTCATTATGTATACACTTTGTGTTTCTCTCTTTAAGGGCGTTTAAAGATTCGGAACGTGTACGGTGTGTAAAGCGCGCGGTGCTATATAGAATGTAATGTGACCCCCGTCGAGAGCGCAGATGTCTCTTGGATGTGTGTCCCGCTGCGCGACACCGTGTTACACTAGATAATGTCCCACGGAAACATGTGTTATTTGTCTACGTGGTGCTTTGAACAAATCCCGAAACGGACGACGACGAGGATTGCGAGTCCAGAAAACTGGATGCGATCAATACGAACTGTTGTTGGAGGAACACGAGGATGAGAAGATATGTTATGGTATGGATGGTATAGCAGAGGTGCACCCATCGTCATCCTCGCAACATCGGACGTTCCCTTTTAGTTATTTAGTCTATTAGCGGAACACGTCGGCTTAACAAATAGCGCAATCAACATCATTTCTCACAACTGACAGATTGTGTGGCTCACGTTCTTACTGTTTATGAGCGCCGTCGCACGAGGAATTCCTCTCGCTCGCTCTCACCGGAGAGCGGAGATAAAGCTAATTAGCCCGACATTTCCTTAATTAATTATTGCCCTGATATGAGAACACTTAAAATTAGTTTGATTAGTTTCCACTTACCATGCGACCAGCTTCGTTGTTGTGCAAGTTCATCTTCTCGCGGAGGCTGCGACCCCTCTCGCCAGTGTCCACGAACTCCCTGCTGAACTTGAACCCGAACGCAATGTTATCCGAGCATCCTCCCCATTCCCAATCCCTCAATCCTGATACCGAAGGACTTCCCGATGAGGAGTGAGGTCTCAACTTGTGCTGGCTGTAATCGCAATTGCAGGTCTCTATCGAACCTTCGCTGCAAGCCCTTGCGATGGAGTGCGTCACAGCAGCGCTGGTGATTGCGTAGATGAAAGCGGTTTCCCTGCATCCTGGAAGAACCAAACAAAACAAGAAAACATTAGTTGAGAAAGACGTCAGCCGGGATTTATATTGTTTTCGAGGTGCTGCAGGTAATCTGTTTACAAGCCGACTCGATTTGAATAAGTAATTTAATTATTATAATTCATCTGTTCTGAAATGAGATGCAAAGCGACCCGGATAAAGATGTAAAGAGCGAGAGTGAGAGAGATAGAGATGCCGAGAAAAGATGAAGGGGTTGTGAGAATGCGATGAGCTCTAAGGTGAAAGGGAAACGAGAAATTTATAGAGATATAGCGATAAAATACAGTGTTTGTAACAATAGTAACTGCGGCCAGGTAGGAATATATCATGGGGTCTCCCCCCGACGGGGGGCAACGTGATGACGTAATTACCCGGTCAGAGCTGCGGGGGGCTCGTATTAACCATAAGGCCGTAACTCATACGGACTCACACGAGGCCTCGAATCCTTCTTCCTCCACATTCATCCACGTGTATACATATATATAAACCTCATGCAAGAGGAAGAATTAATAAAAAGGACATGTCATTATAATTGAGTGTCCCCTTTTGTGGTCTCCTCTCAAACATCTGTACCCGTAGGGATCTGTTGCTAATAAGTGTGTAAGCGATATGCAGATCGACAATGGCATTACAAGCCGGAAAATAAAAATAAAATGGAATAAAAAAAAATATATATAGATGAAGGGCCCTGAATTGCGTGTGCATCTGGCCATCCTATATATACATATATATTCACACAGAAGTACAGTGAATTGGAATCGTTGGGAGTGAAAGCCTCTGTGTCCGCTTTAGTTTCTCTCTGTTCTCTCCTCCTTCGCATCCGAACATCCGAATTTCTTTTACGGCCTCTGCGAAAACTGCGTAAATTTACGGCCGTGAAATGGGGAATGATGTTTTTATTGATGCAATATGAGTAGTCAGTATGAATGTAGATTTATGAAGGCATTGATGGACAGTAGTCACCACGGACTTAGGGGGTCGATCTGTCACGCTACCGGACATTCTATGGACACCCGATTCCGATTTTCGGAATTTATTACCCTGTGATTATTTGCAAGTTCCCTTCGCACCGTATCAAAAGCATGGAAATTGCGATTTCGGTTGCAGATAAAAGAATTCCTGTGAAAGTTGTCGAACAAAAAGGGACGACGAAGCCTCTAAGTGAAATATTGTGTAATAATTTGTCAAGTGATTTAATTAAACTAATTCTCCGAGACAGCATCTTCGTTCTACATATATATACGTAGTTTTTTATTTCTCTTGCTCTTCTCTCTTAAATTGGTTCAATCAACTGTGAGTATTTGGATTCAGGTAGAGATTCCGAAGTGGTATTTCAAGTAGCCCATTATCTATAAATCTCCGACGACTATTTGTTATTTAAAAGTGGAAGAAGAGAGTTCGGTGGAGATGAAAATAAATTAAAAAAAGGGGGAGACCTATTAGTTCTAAATTGATAGGTAATTTGACTCTGTCGAATCAATGATCTTCTTCCAATAAAACGATAAGAATCACTTTGTTTCGGGGTTCCGATTTGAAATGAACTGAAATTCGACAAATGTCTCATTGCCGCCACGAGCGTTCGTCCTTTTGTGGCGCATCAAAGGAAAACAAAACGAGACGGAAGGGAGTAACCCTTGTATTTTTCTATTATTTTTTTCAGTAGTCTCCCTATTAGTAAATAATGCGAGATTTTCTTGTTGAATAGACTTAATCTGGTTATTGTCATGCAAATTTTGCATCGGACGTTCCTGTTCTCACTCTCTCTCTGTATCTTTCCGATCCTTTTCATTATTGTACATTTCTTTCAACGGCGCAGTATTTTATATTGGCATTGCTTTTTTTTCTTGTAATTAATTGAGTTATTTGTAGAAATAAAAGAGTCAGGGGCCCGCCTGGTTGCCGAATGAAATGAGGCATTAAGCATTTTACAACTGACACTATACGGTTGTATATATCTGGAACGCGTGGGCAACTCTCCGCAGGTGTCCAACATTGTACTCCGGGTGGCAGGTAGTTGTTGGCAACCATCTTCATGGTTCCCATTTGATTTAGTGCGTCTACTTTCATATTATATGACTGTAGGTAGTTTGGTTAATAAATAACGGAAGAGAGAGAGTGCTTACCTTTGTCGACGATTTTCCCGAAGAGATTCTTTCCGCGCAGGAAGTTCCTTGTAGAGCAGTTCCAGCGTCTGTTCCGGAATTGAAATTGGCACTCGTGGATCGCTTGATTGGCTCCCTTTGCGATTGCAACAAGAACGCCAGGATTCTCTCTGGCCAATCTCCTTTGCTTCCGTCGCAGAGTGCTGTGGACGGAAGGATCCATGAAGAGGACTCCAGGTGACAGCGGGGACAGATTGTTCGGCTCTCCCGCCTTTGCTATACCCCTAGAACGCAATAGGAAAAGAAAAAGGTTTGATTAAACAGTGAAGACAGTCAAATATTTATTTAGGTCGGTGCGAAATGGCCCGTCAATATTTAACGGGGCATTTTGGAATTAAAGAGTTTAAGCAAACAGCGTGCGCCCATGCGGGATCATTAAAAGAGTATCGTGAGATAATAATCAAAGTATTCACCGTGAAAGATTTTATAGAGTCGTTTCGCCTCTGCTGAGGAGCGACTCCATTCAATAAATTAAAATTTATCGTGTGCCTCGCTGATTGGAAATTAGTGCTCACGAGAAAAAGGAATAAAAAAAGAAAGAAGAGAAGAGCAGACCACCGAACGCGAAAATTGTGGATACAAAATCTTCAACTGTCTCTTTCTCTCTCTCTCTCTCTCTCACTCTCTTCACCGAATGTGTGTATTTCTTTTCGCCTCAGGAAGCTGTGGAGAGCGTGAGAAAGCCGTTTGATCCTTTCGTTATCTACGCGCCGTGGTCTCGACTATATGTTAACCCCTTATCTACGAATTCCGCCGCTAAAGGTATGTCACCAGAACCGACAAAAAAAGAGTCTATATAGACAGCTCCAACTATAACATTTCCAATTCCCAACAAATAAAATATTTGAGATGAAGATGGAGAAAAAAGTAAACTGTAAGAAAACACGGCACAGATAATCTCTTCCCTTTTTTTCTATTAGTTTCCATGCGCTAATCACTGATAGCATTGAGCAAATATTAACAAACCGTCTGGCACCAAATATTTCGTGAAGTCTCGATCAAAGGACGCGTTTTAAGATCAATAGAGATGTCTGTTGCTAATTTGTCCAAAACGGGGACATTTCCATCAGAACGCTATTGGATCTAACAAATTACAACAGCGCTATGGTCAAATGTCACCGTTTCGGACACCAACATCACTTGGAGACCCAAACGCCCGATCGGACCACGAACCCCGGCCTTTATCCTTTTTCGTACGGTCCATCCTCTTACACCGCAAGTGTCCGAACGCAACTCCCTGCTGCTATTAGAATTGCTAATTGAGTTCTTCAATTCGACGATTTCCAATTCCAATAAATTAAACTCGGTTTAAGCGGTTTGCATAAGCAGAAGCTTTCCGATTCCATTCATATAGGAACCACTTAAAAATAAATCTGTCACACTAATCAAATATTTACTTGATCTTTTTAAGTCCATAAACTAAATTAAATAAATAAATTTATTGGTTTTGCTTTAAGTAATAATGCGATAAAATAATTATTTGATTTATTGAAATAATATCTTTAAATTTCTGATGCGTATCACTATTAATAATCTCCCCTTCTTTGAGTCATGAAGTTGTCGCATCAATTTGATATGTTTTCGTGCATGTTAATGAAGCGATGTAAAGTAATCTGACTGGTGTCATCGGTATAAACGTCGTGTCAAGTCTACCAAAATTTATGAAGCGCGACAGAGTTATTAAGTTTTGGAGAGCCACAAATAAAATTCAGAAGAGTCTCTTCTTTTCTTTTGCCCTCGCGTGTTGTTGTTTTTCCAGCTCGTCGTTGTTGTTGTTGCTGATGATGCTTTTTATTTATTTTTTCTTTTTGTACATCTTCGTCCCTTTTTTATTTTTGTAGGAGCGATTAATGAATCCGTGGAAGCGTGTTTTAAGGTAGCTGACAGCATTTGATTGATCGCCGAGGCTGTCTTCTGTTTCGCTGTAAATCTTTATTGTCAAGTATGTGACCGGAGTACGAGATCGACTCACGGAATAAAATTTTGGTCAACGGGTTAGAAGGTTTTAATTGGAAACTCGTTTTTCGCTAGAACGCCGTTGCTGCTGTTTGTAATCTCGCTTAAGTAGTTTTCGGTAGTTCATTTGATTCTTTTTTATTTTGGGTATTTTATATGTTAGTGGAAACTTACCACCACATGGATCCTTTTCCGCGGCCTTTGTTCCTGGTGTCCATCTCAGCTTGGCATCCTGTGAGAAGGTACAGAAGGACACAGAGAAGTGTAATCACTGGCAACTCCATCATGTGCTGTATTTGTGTGTATGTATGTTTGTTGACTGTCGTAACAATAATGTGTACTTTTTAGTCTTTGGCTAAGTCCACCCGCACACTCACTGACTGACACCGCGTCGGACGCAAAAAATAAACAATATCACCTGAACTTTAAGTATTTACTTAAATAAGGGGGATGGTAGGGGGTTGGTGGGCCGACGGAGATTGCCGATCGTTGCCGAGTCGTCGAAGTGAGGAGGAGTCTTGTGACTGTGTCCTGACCACCCACAGCAGAGACTAAATCTAAACTAAACTCTGCACGTGTGGTCCTTATACACGTGCACGAGGGCTCCGCCCACCACCTGCACGGCCTCCAATCAAGCGCAGAGGCCCCGCCTCCCATTGGGAGCCTCTCGACCGCCATTGCACGAATCCCCGATTACTCTCAAACCACCGGTCATCTATTCCTTTTGTTGAAGGCCTCTCTTTCCAATCCATTCACATTATCGGCACCTCTTCGAACAGGGGGATCTCTCTCTCTTCTGTTCATCCCCCCACCATCAGCATCCCTCGCGCTGAGACCCCCTTAACGTATCCAACAATGCGATGATTCCACTTACCTTCTGCTTCTACACACTTGATCTTCCTTTTCACCGGGAAATGTTTTACAACTCCTTTTGTACACACTGGAACTGATCACTTGACTAACAGTTATATTACCTTTACTTATTGATCATCATTGTTACCGTTTTTCTTCACTTCGTTTTTCTTCTTTTTTTCTCTTTCTTTGCTCTTTTCTTATTCGAAACGGAAGCGCTGCCACCGTGCCATAAATTGCACACGCATTATTTGCTTTCACAAAAGCACAGCAAAGGCCTTCGGCGAATTTATTAATTATTAGTTCATGCACATTAAAGCGAATTATCCGTGCGTACGTAATTTTATCATTTTTATGCAGCAAAACCATTAGCTAATGTGATACATTAACTCCCCTGCTTATACACCAGTTATTCCCTCTAAACGATAATGAATTATTATTAGCGCTCCAATGCATACTCATTACACTGCTTCATAATGATAAACTCAACCGGCAAATTACATTGCATTTCTTACTCTCCGAGTGACTCACTTTTTTCCTTTTTTAGTTATACGCATTTTTCTTCTCCCATTTCACTTCAAACTCGTTTAATCACATACATTTCACTCGACAATTCCCAATATAACATACTCTTATATAAACCAACCACAAAATATATTTTTATTTCATAACATATACATTACAAAATGTTTTTTTTTTTGGGATTTATAGATTCACTAACAAATTTATACCTATCGAAAATAATTTATAAAGAAAATAGTAATATAATAATATATATATTTAATATTTTTATTTGATTGTGATTATTTTGATACTTATTAAACAGTAAAACGAGAAATGACTAATTATTAATTAGTATATTTAATGAAACATATCTTAAATCATAAGAATCACACATGAACCAATAAGTAAACATTGAAATATTAAAATGATTTGGCAACTTGTAAAATGAATAGAATGAGTTTTAATAAAGTGTTTGAAAGCAACTCTTGTTACGTTTAACACATGAATAGATGAAGTTACCTAACGTAATTTATGGTAACCAGTCTTAAGACCACACGCAATACCTACAATTTGGATCTCATGATCGATTAGCAGACAAGACATTACATAGAAACTACATAATTAATAAATATTCCACTATTATTTAAAAATATAAATATTCTACTAATGTGTAAAAGAGGATCTTTTAATTAAAAATTCTTTATAAATATTGAAATTTATTTTCAGCAATTGTTAAAAACAGATTTTTTAAAAATTTGTATTCTTGCGTGATAAAAACTTTTTTTTTTATTAAAAATTTCCTGTATTATTATTTAATGCAATTCATTAAACTCAATTTTTAAATTGATTTTGTAATTTATTGCCTGTATACAATCAATATATTCTATGCAAGTATTTAAGAGAAAAAAAAACGAGAAGAACCAAAAAGGTAATGAAATGAAGAATGTAATATGTTAATGCGACATAAAGGCATAAAACGCCGTGTTTCACTCTTTTAGGCAACTTGGTTTAATGCATTATTCGTAAAATTAATTTTCAATCGGGCAGCGGCAAGCGGTAATTAGGGAAGTAACTGTATATTAATTATTTCATCGGGTGGAGGCTCAATTTGTTCTGTGGCATTTACTAATTAAAGTTTCAGGGCGACCCTAAGAATAACAGAGAGCGCGATTTACATTATTAAATTAATGCTCGCAGTGTAAACGAAATAAAAAGCAATAAACGTAAACGCAATAAAATGAAGAGAAATTCGTTTTGCAATTGTTAATTGCGGTAATTTTTGGGGCGGGAATATGAATTTACTTATATCTTTCACTTGTTGGGTGGGTTTTTTTTGCACTTTTAATTTTCTTCTTCTTTGCTTTTTTTTTATTCGTCTTTTTTTTTGCACATTATTCGCATACTCATGAGAATTGCTTTCGGATTGCAGCAGGTATGCCACTAATAGAGTGAGCAGCATCTGCATATACAGGGAGGGGGCAATAAATATGCCCTTTGTCAACACCTGAGAAACGGTGAGCTCCAAACATAAGCCCCCCCTGGTCTCGGATACCCCATAAAAACGTTTTGTTTATTGTGTTTACTCAATTTATTGCGTCTTCCACTTTTCGGTGGCTTTTTATTGGGCTACCCCACATTCTCTTCTTATTCGTTCATCCATTTTTCCCGGAATCAAGAACCTTCACTTCCTTAGCGCCGGATTTTTTCAAATCACTGCACGTCTTTCACGTAATATTGCCTATTAATTTTTATAATATACCAATAACAGTTTATGAGCGTTTTTGCGTAATTAAAAAAAACTCTGTAGCTGAAATCCATAAACATTTTATTGGTTGTGCAGTCTGATTAACACTCACTTCCTTATCGGATTTATTCAGTTTATGAAATTATACTTTTAATCTCCTATAAAATCAAGTTGTTCAATGTGGTCTATAATTAAAATAAACTGGATTATGTCTGTTCCTATTCAACTCCATCGTCTTTTATCCATCACACCGGAACGAACAACTTTCACTTCTTTTTCAATCGAATCATCCACAATCCTAAAAAACACTCATGAAAGTATATAAATTACCTCAATATATTTTAGTCATCAAAAACTAAGCAGACATTGAGCAATTTTTAAAATAATTTTCTAAATAATAGTTTAAATTTATTTCTTGTATAAATAAATAATATAATAAGCAAACAAACACATTTTTTTTTGTTGCTAGAATTTAATAAAAAAATGCTAAAAATATTTTACACTTCATCTTAGAAAATATAATTGTTAATTACAATTATTACAAAAAGAAAATATTTTTTTAAAATATTTCATTAACAAATATTGGTTTCAGTTTCGTAATATTTTCGTGAATGAAACAACTCGAATATTAAATCTTTTTTTGAAGAATTTCATCACAGCACTTGATGTATCGCATGGGGTACTTCTAACTGTCACATTCACATACTTGAAGGTATTTCCTGCATTGTATCTAATCGCCTTGGTAACTTGGAGATTTTCAGTAATTCTGAAATCGAAACAGAACAGAAACGTTGAAAAACATGTTTTTTTTTTTTTTTTTAACATGAAATCTTGAAAAACAATGTTATGAAGTGATTATGGAACAAGAAAGTTACTTTTGTTTAAAGAACAGATCTAAAAGTTACATCAGTGGCATTTCAATAATATATAAAATAAATATTAATTTAACGATTGGAATTATTACATAAATAATTATATTATATAAACTATTGCTATTTATATTATGATTATAAGTAAATAAGTTTATATATAATAAAGTGTTCTAAAATATATTTAATAGAAATATTTTTGCTAATTATTTTCTATATTATGAACGAAAAATATGTTATATGATTGAATCATATATTTAATAATAAAGCTTAAATATATGCTTCGAGCAACTTATAAATACATAAATCATAATTTAAACCACTTAAGATTACGTCTTTGGCGTGAAAAAAAAAACCTGATAAAATAATTTATGTGTCCTCAGCCATTTATTTCGCACATTTTTTTGTCTTTCATTTTTCATTTTTCCAATTAAAAAAAAGATCAACTGATCTTTCTTGGGTCCCGAAAAAAAAGTACACAATTTTCTGGGCATGTACAATTAGCTCATAAATAAATATTAAATGAAACTATAATAAATAAACAAGGTAAAAATTTTATAAATATTTAAAAAAAATATATAAACACAAAAATATAAAAAAATACCAGCTGCATAAAATCATCGACAAATAACCAAGCAAACAAACATATAAAATAATAGATGCTAATAACAGTACAGTGGAACCTCGCTTAACAAGCATTTTGCTTAATCAGCAAAATAAATTGTAAGAAAAATGACTATATATTACATAGTTTATATTACATTAGTTTATATGGGGAAAATTGTTTCACTATACGAGTAAAAATCCAGAAATTTTGGAACGATTATACTCGTTAAGCGAGGTTCCACTGTATACAAAAAAATATGTAATACATGAATATCTTGAATAGTGCGAGGACTTTAAAACTGCATAAAAATAAATAGCACAAAAAGAGACTAGAATTTATTTATATTTTAGTAAATAAAAATTTAGTGTGTTTAAAAATTTTCAAACCCTACTATAGTAATTCTGCGCTGATCGAAGTCGCATTATACGAAGTATGGCTGTACTTGCTTATGTTGCTCATATTAATTATTTCTCTTTTTTACTCAGTAGCGAATTTGCCGGTGATCATCGTTCGATGTCTTTTTGCCTAATAAAAAAAATGCGTTTCAATAAAACTAAAAAAACTGTAAAGTAAATTTAATGATTGTAATATTACTTCAAAAATAATAATTTTGAAACTTTTCTCAAGAAATTCCATCAGTTATATGAATTTAAATTGATAATAATTATTGAAAATTGATATTTTTATCTGTATTTGACGTTTATATCTGATTAACTGAAATAGCACATGGAAATGAGAAAATGGTTTTATGAAATCGTGCGTGTTATGCATGCCAGTTCGCATGGATGCGCTGAATCGTGTCTCTCCTTCCTCTCTTGTCTCTCCAGATGTTTCGTTGGGTTGAATAGTTTTAAGTAGAGATACGTGTTAGTATTTCAATGGTTCGAGTGTTGTTTGTATGGATGTGCGCAGCTTAATGGGCCAAACAAACATTGGCATGTGCAGCGTTCGAC